TCACCGCAAGAGTACCACTCGTTAGACCACCAGACAAACGGTCCGCTCAACGCCAACCACTCGCTCACGCGTCAGAGTCCGCGACCGAACTCACGGTCATCGCCGGGCCGAGCGAGTCGATCGCCGGCCAGTTCTGTCAAAAGTGAATCAATGGTGACGATCACGACCAACGGTATGCCATCGGCGCAGCACCAGACCGACCAACCCATGGATTCTGAGCCTTTTTTAGTGAATACGACCACAACTATGCACCCCTTCCACAGCAACAACCACTTAGATTTGACAACATCTATGAATACATCTACAGGTATTGTCAAACATCTATTATTACAATCGCTTTTATTAATGAGTTAATTAACACTTCATCTCTATTTGACGGACAGGTATTATCAGTTCATATAACATGAGTCCCACCGCACAGTCACAGTCATCTGCATTCTACCCCTCATCCCTGTACATGCCTTCCATAGGCCTTCTCGATCCGAGCAGTCCTACTGTGATAATGAGTCCGTCTCAGCACAGACTTGGCTATCGGACAGCCCTCACGGGATTTGCCCTCTTTCTCCATATAGACAACAATCTCTATTCGTACGGCCCGTCCATACAAACCCATTCTGATGTGTGACAAAGTCAATGATTACCATCACTACCGCCACATGTATTTCATAGAATATTCTTTGTTTTCTATTATGCAATACAAACCTATTTTCCAGTATTTTTCTAATGCCATCAATGGATGCGGAATATCCTAATTGCTTATAATAGGGAATATTGGAAACTAATGGCCGACAGCCGGGAATTGAAGCAATTATTCAATGAGTTATTATTTTTTATTCACATAATTCATGCCAAAGTTTATTTACTCCGTTTGGGATTTGATGCAAACGTTTTTGCGTAATATATAGTGTTTTGCAATAACTCTTCGCTGTATCTCATAATCACATGCTTTTCATAACATAAGTCGAGACTCAAAATCGTTATATTCTTTGACTAAAGACATGAGTTTTGTTGATGACATGCCAGACATGACAACAGATTACCGAATCAATCAATCAGACAAACCATCGATGAAAAGCGAGGAGAGAGAGAGAGAGAGAGAGAGAGAGAGAGCACATAAACAGTAGGAAACGTGTATTTTTTGCAAAAAATTCTCAGCAAATCATTCAAACTTCATAACAATTTTCACACAACAAAACACAATCGGAAATAAATCAATAGACAATATATTTATCATAAAAAATAGGTTTTTATTAAATATTATCAAAACCTGAAAAAATCATTTATTTGTCATTACATTATACTATATAATAATAATTAATCAATAATTAATAATAATAATCATAATAATCAATATTATGGCACATCTGTGTGTAAATAAAAAGGAGAGATATATTTTCAAATCAAACAAAAAATTGTATAATTTTTTCAATGATATAATTATAGACAATATATTGGAATCTCGTATACAATACTTAAAAACACTAAAAAATTTAATGTATATCTAGTAAAAAGATTTTATTAATTTTTATCATTATTATTATTCATTTCATTTATTTGTAATAATAATAATAGTTATCAATAAAAGAGAGATTATATTAAAAGATTTGTGTTTAAATTTAATTCTCATCAATTGGCAGAATAATAATAATAATGTAAATTTAAAAATAGGTTTTAATTATTATTTATATATTGGGCTATTGATCAAAACAGACAGTGTTTTGAATCAATTAATTCAATCATTGAATCAATTCATATGTCCCACACTTTGACAGTGTATTCAGTTTTATAATGCAATTTACAATAGACTTAAAACATTTAATTAATAATAATAAGTATTTCATTTGTGGCATCTGTTTATGAGCTTTAAAATAGTCTTTAAATATAAAGTATTTATTTTTCATTTAAAATTAAGAAAAACATTGAAAAAACACTATTTTAATCATAGATTGTATTTTTATTTGAATGTAATCTTCAATCAAAATGCATAATAATTTTTATATAAATTTTATCATATAAATTGAGCGACAGTTTAAACAACACTGCATTTACTATACAATTAAAAGTTATAAATGTTTCATCGAGGTACTTTAAACAGTGTTTATATCAATGCAAATAAATGTCACTTTTATTTTTATAATTCACACACAAATCACTTTTTATCGGAGAAGAAAATCAATTATATTATAAATCGTTAAAAATCTCATTTTGTTTTTGCTATAAATTTCGTAAACAATTTAAAAACCAATTCATGAGAGAAAGAGAGGACTAATGAGACGATTGAAGAAAGAGGCTCTCAATTGAGAGGCACAACAAAAAAGTTCATGATTTGGCTATTATTTAAAAATAACTTCTAATATATAATATATATCTGAATACTATAGTCATTGGCTTTTCTTTGCATAGAATTTACATTTATTTTTTATATTAAATAAAAGAGAAATTAATTTTCTTCATAAGAAAACTCAATTCAAAGGCAAAAACGCACAAAAATATTATAATAATTAATAAAATAATAATACAAAACAATTATAACAAAAAAAAACAAATTCTTCTCTTAAAACGTGTGAATTATTTTCATAGAAAACAAAGCATTTTCTATTAGCGACTAAAACAAAATCATTTTTACTATTTTTATGCGAGAGAGAGAGAGAGAGAGAGAGAGAGAGAGAGAGAGCAAGAAAGACCTGGATTACAGGTATTTGTATACATGTGCTGTGTATGTGTGCGGAGGCAAATCAAAAACACATATTTGTAAAATCAAATCAAAAAACAAAACCTAAATGAAGAGCACAGTTAGGTTTGTATAGGTATTGGTTGTTATTAATATATACGTTATGATGAGGTGCGCAAACGAAATACATTGAGGTAGAAATGTCCTGAGGTTTTAGTGCAAATAACTTAAAACACATTAAAACAAAATAATACTAAATTTGATAATAAATTAAATATATATAATATAATGCAGTCTAAACTGAGGTGTGTTTTTTGGGGTCAATCATAGGCTGTGAGTGCTATTAATAAATAAAAACACCACGAGTCTATTTTTCTACTATTACAATGTGTACGTATAAATTGTGAATAATATAATCAAATCAAATAAATGCCTTTTTCTCTCTTTCTTTCGAATACAACCACTAATTGTATTGTAATTTTGGTTTAGTTTCTCGTCATTTACTATAAAATTATAATTCAATAATCAAAACATCAAAACAACAGATCCATTACTGGAGAGGAATAGAGGGAGAGATAGTGTGAGCGACTGTCATGTCTATCATCTGTATGTGTGTGGGAACTGACGGCCCGATTCTTCAGATATATAGCTACCAATCAATTTGAATATATATTTACTGTATATATATTTAGATATATTTATGTATATAATTTATATATATGACAAAATACTTGTACAGTATATCTGTAGTTAATCAAAAACAATTACACAATTAGTTTTTTGTATATAATTTTCAATTAAAAAATTTGTTTTTCAAATATTTTTTCGTTTCAAAATAATTGAAGAGAGAATTAATTCCAGCCCTCAATGAAAATCAAATGCTATATTATTTGAGTGAGAATTTCATTGTAGGATAACATGTCATATAATCTTATAATTTAACGTTTAAATCGACAAAATGACTAAAATATATACTAAATTACAGTGAAAATTGAATTATATATTCGTTTTGTATTATTAATTCACAAATGGTTTAATTGTTATTTGGATGGAAATCTTATATCCATGTAATATCTTGTCTCTTAATCTCTGATAAATAAGTAAAATAATTATTACTATATATACTGTATATTTGATGTGTCTTTATATATAAGATATAAATTATATCATATAATATAATCGCTGCTAAAAAACTTTGCCTTTTGTTTTGTATAGAAATTCTGTTTAAAAAATAAAATATAAACTCTAATGAATGTTATTATGCGTTCAAAATCTCTATAGTTTTTTTTGTTGTCTGGTTTTAAAAATAATGTATAAAATTACAATTCCTGGCGACTAAACGCTATCTTAAATATAGTTTTACTTTCAATTTATTTTAATTGAAAAATTTTACTTATTTCATAAAAAATCTTATTTTACTCTCATATTTACAACAAATATATAATCGGATCGACGGCTTAATTATCATATCGTATGGACTACTCGTAGGGTTTGTCTATCTTTTACTGTCATTAGTCCTACAAATGGCTAACTTTGATCGAAGGCTGAAATTAATTATTACTTTTTTAAATTATATAATCAGATCTGATTTGTTCACAATATTGTGTGTTTCATAACACATGTATAATCGATACCAAACTCTTAATTAATTGTAAAAATAATTTCTATAAATGTGTTGTATATCAGAGAGAAAAGTAAACCATTAGTTGTAATACTTATTACTCTACATGTCTTAAGTATGTATTGTCTGTGTTTTAGTAAAAATATTTCTCGGCTTTTCATACCATAATAATCGTATATAAACTTCGATAAAATCAAATTAAATCAATAAAAATAATAACTGTCGGTGAAAAACAAACAAACACGAGGTAAAAATTGAAATGTAAAAACTATTGATATATAAATAGTAAGTAAAGATATACAGTGTGTGTAAAATACTTGTTTCCAAGTGTGAAGTAAAAGTGTGAGCAATAAATTTGACAATCAATTTGACGGCAGAAATAATCATTTCAATCAAAAACAATCAACTGTTTGGCACAAACTATACTCTCGTTATGTATATATAATGTATCAAAAACTTTCAATTCAAAGCACATTACAATTAAATCAAATATATGTTAAGATATATATAAAGACAATTCAGATCATCACTTATTTGATGTAATGATTGTTTGCAAACAATTTGTTTCACTTTTGCATTTTGTTTCATTATTGATGGCATTTCTCTGGCATTTGGTTTCGATCTCGAAGTGAGAGTAGAAGAAGTAGAAGAGGAAGAAGTGGCACAAAGTTTTTTCCGATAGAGAGTTAAGTATACATAATATACACAATATATTTAAAAAAGTTGTATATAAAGAGTGGTGCGGTTTATGGAGTATCAGATCACTGGAGAGATAAAGAGAGAGCAAAGATTCAGAGCATTGTCTTTTGGTTTGTATTTTGCAGTCATCACAACTTGGGATCAGTTGGAAAGGGATGCGGGCAAAGAAGTCACGTGTGAGCGGGACTGGCACTCGAACGGCCGGTAGTGTTATACTCACGTTCTTCGGGCGCATAACACTCGCAATCGTTGCCCTCTTGTTTGGCGTTTGTCTTGAGTCGGTCGATGTGGCGGTCGTTCCACCAGTTCTGGTCCCGAAAGTTGGGCAACAAAAAGGTAGACATTGGCGGCAATACTGTGCTCGCGGTTGTGGTCATGTGTGGGGCGAGTGGTGTGCCGGCGAACGATGTCATTATGTGATGAGATTCGTTGGACAGAAGTAATGGCGACGAAGACGAGGAGGAGATCGGGTCACCGATGGACTCACTCTTCATGAATGATGTCATTGATGTCAAGTCCATTAGCGTCAGTCCGTTGCCGGACTCCATCGGATCAATAATACGACCACAATCTATGCCAGAAATCATGTGACCGATTGATGTCTGGGGCGACTGCTGTTGTTGTTGCAAGTGTTGCAGATGTTGTTGTTCTTCCACTGACTTCTTGGCCTCGAGTCCGCCGCCGCCGTCGGAGACACTCATTATCACAGTAGGACTGCTCGGATCGAGAAGGCCTATGGAAGGCATGTACAGGGATGAGGGGTAGAATGCAGATGACTGTGACTGTGCGGTGGGACTCATGTTATATGAACTGATAATACCTGGCCGTCAAATAGAGATGGAGTGTTAATTAATGAATTAATAAATTGTAATTTAGGTAATAATAGACAATACCTGTAGATGTATTCATAGATGTTGTCAAATCTAAGTGGTTGTTGCTGTGGAAGGGGTGCATAGTTGTGGTCGTATTCACTAAAAAAGGCTCAGAATCCATGGGTTGGTCGTTCTGGTGCTGCGCCGATGGCATACCGTTGGTCGTGATCGTCACCATTGATTCACTTTTGACAGAACTGGCCGGCGATCGACTCGCTCTGCCCGGCGATGACCGTGAGTTCGGCCGCGGGCTCTGACGCGTGAGCGAGTGGTTGGCGTTGAGCGGACCGTTTGTCTGGTGGTCTAACGAGTGGTACTCTTGTGGTGACGGCGACTGAAATGATTGATGGCTTTGGTTGTTGACAGGGTATGAGCCGGCGGTTGAGGTCGGTATATACGGGCCATTCGTGTTGTTATTGTTGGAAGAGTTATGTTTTTTATTACTATTCCTATTATTATTACTGTTGGTATTATTAGTGCCATTATTACCATTTGTATTACTATTACTATTATTATTATTTTGTGTATCGTCTGAGTTATTAAACGGCGAATTGCTATTAANGTTATTGTTGGAAGAGTTATGCTTTTTATTACTATTCCTATTATTATTACTGTTGGTATTATTAGTGCCATTATTACCATTTGTATTACTATTACTATTATTATTATTTTGTGTATCGTCTGAGTTATTAAACGGCGAATTGCTATTAAACGAGTGATAAATGGATCCGTTTTGCATCGCTTCCACCGAATTATACGGCGTCCGCCTCTCCTTATCGGTGATGTGGCCGTTGGGTGTCTTGCGGTACGGACTGTCGTCCTGATCGCCCGATTGCGACCAATTCATGTGAAGGAAGGGCGGCTGCTGTTGGCCAGTGTCCGGGTTTGGCGGCGGCCCTGATGTGTAATGAGGGCTTAATGAGGTGGTCGTGCCGTTATTGGCCTGTTGTTGGACTACAATAAATGTTTGGCCTGTAATACAAAAGAAAAACCATTAAGTTTATGCTTTTATAATGTTTTTGTTTTGTTAAAACTTTTTCTCAAAATTTTTTTATGTTATATTTTTACGCTAATGTCTTGTTTGAGAAAAAGTTGTTTCTTGTATTTATGTCTGACTCCAGAAAATACCAGAGCATTAGTGCTAACCTGGAAATGATGGCAATGGGGGCGGGGGTGCGGACAGTGGCGGTGGATGCGGCGGAGGGGGCGCCGGACCGGAACCGAATGAATTGTGATTATTATTCTGATGTCCGCCGCTATTAATCTCCTTCTGACTCTGTCTGCTCTGAATCAATGATTTCAGTCTATTATTCATTATCTGATGCCTATTCACGTGAGTATTGTCTGTCGGGTTAGCGTTCGCCCCGTTATTACTATTACTGTTATTATTGACACCGTTTTCAGGGCTCCGATGCGCTCGATTAACGTCCACACCATTGCCTGGCGGTCCACCGCCGCCGCCGAGTCCTCCTCCGTGGCCATTGAATGGCCCGTTCATTGGCTGAGATGTCATGTGAAAGTTGCCGAACTGTGGCCCAGAGTTTGTGTCATATACAGGGCCACCAATACCGGCCGGAAAGCCACTGTAGTCTGGATAAGAGCCCTACAAATATGCAAAATGTAATTAAATTAAAATGAATTAGTTTTTCATTCAGTCATCCAATGGTTGGGCGCGTGTGGGGGCGCACAGGGAGAGGAAGAGAGAATGGTGTGAGTCATAGCAAGTGCTGCCTATTATGAGCGCCTGGTATTGATTTAGACGCTACTGACATAACTCTATGGCTGACGACAAACGCATAGCACAGTATATAAGGATATTTCACATGAGATTCAAATTTTATTGATTCCCTCAGCTTTTATTTTCAATGGCATTACTATTTATGTTTAGATTTATGTTTGCATTATATATAGGAGTGAAAAAGAAAGATTAAGACACAAGTATTTTACGTGAAACTCTTATTTAAGGCATTATTATTACTATTATTGATAGCCTTAATGCCGATAACCGAAGAATATCTTATAGTTTTGATAATTCTTGGGATATAATTCATTGGCACTGATTCCCAGGTGACCGGCGCTACACTATATACGGCTAATGGTGTTTCACTTGGCAGTAGTGACGATGTCTAAGCCATACAATTGATTTTCTATTGAAATGCACTCATACTTAGTTTGGGTCTGACAATAGCCATCTCCAGAACAATAGGCAAAAGCCATTTCTCTGTGCATAAGAAATGCGTTTTTCTTCCAACAGTTTTCTAAGCGCATACACAACACGGCTAAAGGCAAGCTGTGCTGTTCCACAGCTACTGGTGCTGTGCCTCTTGCCCTGTGCTCTCTCTAGCATTGGTAATACAGTTCTCTCAACTGTTTCCCAGGACCTGACAAAACTTCTGGCAACGGAACACATACTGTTGCCAAACAGTACATCACAAGCCAACGATCCCAAAACGCGAGACTCTTTTTATTCATTTTCTTCACTTCACTTTGTTATGTATTTACGTCTTCTCTCTCTCTCTCTCTCTCTCTCTCTCTCTCTCTCTCCTCTCATTTTAATGCCTCAAAACACATAACATATATGGAAGAGAGCGCACCGTCTGTTCTCCTCTTTTCTTTCTCGTCATATTTTTGCTCTCCTATTGTCCGACAGGTCATCACATTTCCTATGGTAGGTATGGGTGCCTAACCTAACCATTGAATACATCCCGGTGTGACATATGCTACCCTAAAACTTAAACAGCCAATGCTCTCAATAATTCTTGTATGCATTATACATACAGAGTATAACTTATGTCTTATACTTCAAACGCGTACAACAATATTCTCAATTCTGTGTCTCATTCCAGTGCCAACACCTGTACTTGTCTTATATCTATTATATGCCCACAAGAAAACCCAAATCAAAATAATAATAAAATACTCCCGAATCAGCCTTTCCTTTATGTGCCGGCGATTCCGTATTCAATGAAATCCATACATAATCTCTGAACTGAAATTCTCACTCGACTTAAGGATAAATTGAAAAATATATATGAAATAAAATCAAGAAAAAAGCGATCCGAAAGACATTTGAAAATTTATTTCACTCCTCTTTCTTTCACCGAAAAGAATGTGTAATTTATAGTGTATTTCAAAATTTAATTCTCACCAAAACTATTCACTCAATTCTTATCATACAATGTATTGAAATTGAAAAGTTTTTTTTTTGTTTTTTCGCTTTTGAATTATTATTTTTCACGAATACTTTCCCGAAGAATATAAGAGAAATAAGACTCAAAATATAATAAATCGTTAATGAAATATATAATAAATGTAAACTACTATTAAAATTGGGTCAAACAATGTGCGGGATATTTATGAGTGCCTTATTTTCGGGCGATAAAAACATTAGATTATAAAAATCGGTACAATATATGTAATAAATAAAAATGCAAATCATGTTTTTGGTGCGCAAGTCATGTGAAGTCAAAAACTATTTTCTCGGTTTTCCAAGTATTCGTCAATAATTCAATTGAAGGGATGAATGGATGGATAGATGGATGGAAAGGCAAAAGTAATCATCAGAAGCACTGATGAGAGGCACAGCCAAAGTAATGGCAGAGAAACATAACATAACAAATAGAGAGCGAGTTTTTCGTTGGTTTGAGAGCCAAAAGAAAGACTCGACAAAAGCAAAGCAAACGATTGTTCAAATCGATCGCTTCACCAAATTAGAGCCAATAGTCATCATATCTAATGTTATTTTCAAGTTTACAGCAATATATACACAGAGAGGAGAGAGACTAGAGATAGAGAGCAAAGCAATCGAGAGACACAAAAAAGTTAAGTTAAAGTTTAGCGCTTGTATAACATGTATATATTGTAGATATCGCTAAATCAGATCTCTTTTCAGCGCAACGATGCTATGGGTCTATGGATTGATCCCAACGAACAACAAATAGCAATAACCAGAGGAGAGAAAGAAAATACTTAAAGAACTTTATTATATTGTGTGTACACTATATGTATGTATATCTATATCTATTGAATGGTTTGGTTTTTTTTCATGTCTGGGATGATTGTGCAGAGCGTGCGTCACGACAGGACAGACAACTTTTAATGAGTGCATAATTTCTTGTAACTAAAAAAACACACAACGCTTTTGGGACTGAAGATCAAGAGAAAAAACTATTAAATAATAAATATTTTAAAAAAAAGTTCAGCAAAAGTTTATACACAATATATTTTCTCATTTAAGACACACAACATATCTGTGTATATATATTCGTCCAATCGTTCAAATGGCTCAGTAATGACCACATATTACAACAATTATCTTCGAGGACCTCCTCCCTATCACGACAGCCCATACCATACCATACCATACATACAGTGTAACAACAAGTCGACGAGAGTTAGAGAGAAGCGATGGATATATAGAGAGTACACTAAAAATATAGTTTTTAGGGACGTTCTCATTCTCATTCTGGAGGGACCCCTAAATTCTGTACACCATCTATAGTATACATACATAACACTAATAACACACAAATATATATACGTGTATATATTTACTGAATATATTCTCTATACAAGAACTTCTAGAACTATAGCTATAGCTCTCCATAAGTATTGAATTACTTTTAGGATTAACACAACTAATGAAAAACTTTTATGCGGTTTTGCTTTTTGAACAAAAAAATAAAAAGAAAAACTATATTCTCTCAGAAAAGATATTCTGTATATTTAAAGGTCGCGGCCATAGATGTAGAGGTGAAACAAAGTTATGACATTTGGTTCACAATGTTTGGACAAAAAATAAATTCCCAAACTATCACTGAATGGGAGATAACTTTTTTGCTGTCAAACCATTCACTGGTCGTCCGCCCGATATGTTTGAGACAAGATTCTAGCGCCGCTCTCTCTCTCTCACTCACTGTATATACACTGGATGTGTATCTAAGAGATCCCAACACATTGAAAAAAGTGCGGACAATAAGTGCTTATAATAACCATTATTGCCATTATTGGCGAATATGTAAAAAAAAAGTCAGCATTAGATGCGATGGTTTTGTATAGAGATCTAAAAGCAATGCAAACCAATCCAAACAGGTTGATTAAATGCAGCTGTTCCTCTCGGTTCCTCACAAAAAAAACTAAATACATGGCAATAGTCTATCGCTAACTGTTCTCTCTCTTCGAGAGCCACACATACCATATAAAAGTGTATACAACAAGACATTAGACGTAAAGCTCAAACAGCACCACATCTGCCATCCGTTTCTCTCCAATACATAGCACTCTCTCGCAGAAGGCTATGATTTGGAGACCGAAAAACTAAGTTAAAAATGTTTGGCTTCACAACCATTGGCTTTTGCACATTCATTATACACACATTCGTTGGTTACGCTTCACTCAAATCATAGGCCCAACACTTAAATCGATTTTTTCGACTAAACATTTGCATTTTTTCTTAACAAAATATAATATAAACTATTTTTTCAATGTATTATAACAAACGATATTTTTTTCAGCATAGTCTCTCTTTCACTATCGTTTTGGTCGTTTGTATTGTGTTGTGCCAATCGGTGCTGTGATAAGCATCGACAGACCAAACAATTTTTATATTCATCGACACGTCCTATCAATTTAATAAATGAATCATATATTTTCGTGAAATCAATATTTCAAACATAACGTACACACAGACTGTGTGTATATACAGAATATATACAGAATATATACAGAATTACACACAAAAACATTGCTAACGAAAGCCATTATTTATATCTCAAAACTCCATCGCAAAGAGAAAAGGAGATGTGATTCACAAGGAGTTGTGTTCAATGAATGCAATAGTTAGACAACACAGCGACTAATTCCTAAGCCATGAGCCAATACACTCTCGCACTCGGGTCTCAACGCAAATCCATTTTCCATTAAACAAATTGGAAAGAAATTTGCAACAAAAAAAAAGTTTAATTTAATTTACAATTAATGGACAAAAAAGAGTCCATTTTTCTGATGGAAAACTATAGGAAATAGAGTCCAGAAAAAAGAGAGAGTGAATGAGTGAAAGAGTAGTGAAAACACACCGTTTAAGTGATTACTTGGCGTTTGGGAAAAACTTCCGCAAAGTTTGGCATAATTTTTACGTCACTCTTAAACGGGCGAAGAAGTGCCGCTCACCGTAACTACACATCCCCTCCCTCTCCCTTCACTCACTTTCACTTTCTCGTTCTCTCCCTATCTCTCCCTCTTCTCAACCCCACTATCATATGAGGGGTGAGTGCGGAGAGACTATGGGGAGAGAGTGGTGAGTGAGTGGGAGAAGGAGAGAGAGAGATAGTGTCGGGAGAAGTAACCACTACTACTACTACTACTACCACTGCCTGCCCTGAGCTGAGGGGTAACAACACAACGGTATGCCGTATAACAGGTGACTGATAAGAAGAGTGGACACCAGAAGTAGTTTAGGAGTTCAGTAGCACTTGTATGAACACATATTATGTATATAATAAATATATACAACACATACAACAAACTACACCCACCGGCGCGCGCGGGGGATATCAATGGTGCGAATGCCGGAGGAGAGGGAGAGAGTGTGAGTGAGGAGATAGTGGGGGTATTAGTGTACTCACCCGGGGAGCAGCCGTTCCCACCACTTCAGTGGTATGCGCGTCGGTTGGGCCGAGATTTGCGAACGGGGCAGAGATGCCGGTGCCGTTCATCCGTATGGACCCGGTGTCCATCGGTGAACTGTCTTTACCCATTGACATGCCATTAGCCG